AGGAATGAAGGAGAGGCTGCTAGCTTGATTCTGTCATGCCCCAAAGTATATCCATAGCCAGGTAACCCAGGATAAGGCTAGAAAAATATAAGCCCTCTACCACTCAGAGTCAAGAATACAAATAGATTGTAAATTTGGCATTTTTCATTTTAGGATGGTTATTGTGATTGAATTTTTGTCTTTGAACAAAAGAATGAGTTGTGGTTGTTGAAATTGTCTTAAAGTTTATTTGTTTAAGAAAAAAAAAGACATCCCCACTGCTAACAGCTTGGGGATGTTATATTTATTTTTTATTTTTCAATTAGTTGACATTTAATATTAGTTTCAGGTGTACAGCACAGTCATTAGACATTTATATAACTTACAAAATGATACACCCAATAAGCCTTGCACTGACCTGTCACCATGTATAGTTATTACAATATTATTGACTATATTCCCAAAGCTGTATTTTACATCTCAACTGTTTCGTAACTGCCAATTTATACTTCTTAATCCCTTCACCTTTTCACCCAGCCCCTCAACACACCTCCTAGCCCAAACTAAAAACCTTGACCTTGACTCACACATGAAGTCACATGTGTTAATGAGCCCCATTTAATGCTTTTCATCTAACGACAGTGCAGCCTTATGTTTGGAGAATGTTTGGAAATACATGCAGGCATTTTTGGTTATCACGATAACCTTGAAATGCCACTCTATGAGACTTGGAACAGTCTTGCACAATAAACAGTAATTTTGGCCAAAATCACAGTAGTTACCCCACCCCTGGATAATCTTACATTCTAAAAGGTAATTTACATTTAGGAATTTGAACTGTATACATTTTAGAGTCTTTAGATTAACACATCTCTGTATTGTACCACCTGGGAGCCCTGCAGGTTTAAAAGACATAAATATGATGATCTGGGTGATCTTAAAAATAATCATAATTAAAGAATAACAATTGCCTCCAAAGTGACTAGAAAAATACTCTGTGATCTTAGAGTGACTGCCAAACATTCTGTAATGTTGAGTTCATCAAAAGCTTTGGCATCAAAATTCCAAGTATGGCCTTAAAGTGTTTCATTTTTGGCTGAGATAAAAATACATCCTATTTTAACCTCCAAGTTTCATAGGGTAAAGCAATGATTTCTGCAGTCTGGTAATATCCATTACTTGAGAATCTGTCAACATCTAGGACCTCACTCTGTAATTTAGTCACGAAAAGCTGTGAATTTCTAGATGTACTAAAAAGCTTTTAACATCTAGGCTTGGACATTCCAAAGGGGGGGAAAAAAATTCTTTAAAACCACCTTTGAATTTTAAATAGTTTTAGTGTTGTTGCTAGCCCAGTCACGTGAGCGTGCTGAAGGGGCCAAGTCTCCGCCTGCCTTCCTGTGAGTTCTGATTAGACATTGTTAGTTATAGTGCTATCACTTCAGTTGTGCTAGGCTATTCCATCCCACTCCACTCCACAGACATCCACTTATCTCCAGGATAAGCCAGTGCAGCGATGGCATTGGGCGACAGTGGCAAACAAGTAGATGACCCTATCTGCAGGAAGCTTCTAGTTTTGATGCATTTACTGCTAAACTTGTGCTTCAGTGAATTGTTTTAAATTCTATATAATCTACTCCAGCTCACTCCATGGAATCTGATTAGAGTTCTACTGACTTTTTTTCCCCACAATTATTCAATAAGTCAGTGCTGGGCAATAGCAAGCATGGCTTCTATTCTGGTAATCATAAGCACCATGATGATTATTATTTTCGATGAATTTTCTATGTTCCAGAACCCATGTTAAGGGGCCAAAAGCAAATATTTCGTGTCCTTACTATGTGCCAGACACTATTGTAAACGTTTTGCTTATATTAATTAATTTGTTTATGTTCATTGTGATTTAATTCTCACAGATAATAGATACAGATATTAATTTTCAGTTAAGGAATCTGAGGTGAGAGAGATTAAGAATACCCAAGGTTACGCAACAAGCCTTAGAGCTGGCACTCCAACCTTGACAGTGTGGTGCCAGCGACCTGCTCCTAACCATTAAGAGATAAACAGAAGTACCCTCTAAACTAGGTATTATTGTCCTGATTTTTCCAGCGATAGAAACTGAAGTCGAAAATTAAGAAACTATGGTCATCACTGGTGTTGTTTACAAATATTCCAGTTCTCCTTTCCTTCTGGCACATGAAAAAGTTGTACTTTCTACATCCTCTGATGTTGGTGTGGCTATATGACTTGCTGTGGTTAATGAAATATGAACAGAAGTGCCAGAGAAGTATTAAGAGCCTGTATCCAATATACCATGTTCCTCTCCCCCTGAGTTGGTAAAACACTTGTCAAAGTGGAGCCTTTGTTATCCTGGGTTCTTGAGTGACAGTGGACAGAACTCCTCTGCTGGACTAGTACTGGACATACGAAGGAAGTTTTTGTTCTGGTAAACTCCTGAGATTTGAGTTGAGGTAAGTTACTGAGGCAAATTACTAAATTCCGGCCAGTAACTTATGTTATGGCCAGAATTTAGTAATTTGCCTCAGTAACTTACCTAAACTCCTATAGCTTGTTGGTGACAGATATGTGTTTCAAATCCAGGTGTCTCTGACCCAATATTTCATGGCTTTTTCATTTATTATTTCTCTTTCGGTATCGCATGACCTGCAGGAAACTAAACTTAGTTCTTTGCTTACTTTTTAATTTTATTATAGTATTGAAAGTGCTTAAAAAGTACAATCTGATGTCTACGGCTAGTCCAAGTTTAAGAGCATGGAGAATAAAAGTCCCTATCATTCTCTGTGTTTGGTTTGGAGCTTGATATCATGTTTTGCCAACCTCTTGAGAAAATTTTCTATCTTTCTTAATTCTGAGATTCAAGCTCTGGCAACAGACTGTCAGTAATAATGTTAGTTAAAAATACAATGTTGTCCTGAGTGTTACTCAAATTTAAGAAAAATCTAACTATGGGAGGTGAAAACAGTATAAGTATATATATATATGCCTTACTGTTAAAATGTACAGCAGAAATGTATTGGATTTCATTAACCAATGCCACCATAAAAAAAATAATAATAATTAATTAATTTTAAAAATAAAGGAGTGAATTTTATGGTATGTGAAAAAAAAAGACTACATTTATAGTTTTTGTGGTATAAGTTGGTACATGACTTCACTCTTCCATAGGTTGTCATTTAGACACTATGACTGTAAAGTAACAGCATTCTCCATGTATATATTGCTCTCTCTATATCTGTAAACCCCAAATAATCCATGTTCTTGTGTTTAAATTCAGAGTTTGAGGATTGCCAAATCCATCAGCTGAGTACCAAACAACTTAACTGTGTAGCACTGACTACCATGACAATCAACAACAGAGAACCACATGAGAGTCTGAACCTCTTTCCTGAGGATTATCCTCCTGAAGCATGTTAATAGAAGACCCTGGAGACCCTGCCTTTTACATTATTTAAGTTATTGAATAAATTATGGGTCAATAGGTGTTCATGTAAGATAGAAAAGACAAGGAGGAAGCTTTATCCTTAAAATTAGCAGGGTTACCTTTATAGAGACTTGAGGTTTCTCTTTCTGTTATTTGCTGAAAATTAACTCTGTTTGATTACTTTAACTCTGTAAAATTACTTTATTCATTTAATCACAAAACTTCAAACTCTTCATTCAAAAGCTCTTTTGAACTATTTTAAGTTTGTTTACTTATTTATAATACTGGCTTATTCCAGAAATGATCAGAGGCAATTACTATGTATATGTTTAACCTTAGCAAATATCTATTAAATGACACTGAGATAACTTGTGAAATGATTATACAATAAACAGATTGTATAGTTGCTTTTTTTATTTTTAAATAATTGTAGATTTTTAAGAAGTTGTCAGACACGGAGTGATTCTATATACCTTTCACCCAGTTTACCTATAGTTACATCTTAGAAAGTTATAGTACCCTATCAAGACTAGAAAACTGACATTGGTACAATATATGTGTGTAGTTTTGTACGATTTTATTACATGTATACATTCATATAACTACCACTGAAATTAATATTCCATCACCACAAAGATCTCTCTCTCAACTGTCACGCCCACTGTAATTCCCTCTATCATCCTTAATTCTTGGCAACCACTAATCTGTTCACTCTATAATTTTGTCATTTCAAAAACATTCTATAAAGTATTATATTTTTAACAGATGAAAAATTTATATTTATTTATCATGTGTTAATTAAAGCATTGGAAATCTGGCCAATCTCAGTGATACCAAGGTTATTATTTATGTTGCACAATGATGATTATATCTGTGAATTTTTGTTTGTTTATCTCATTTGTTTGTTGCTTTTAGTTTTATATCCCACAGATGAATGAAATCATATGGTTCTCAATTTTTTCTGTCTGACTTATTTTGCTTAGCATGATCATCTCAAGATCCATCCATGTTGTCACGAATGGCAGCATTTTATCTTTTTTTATGGCTGAGTAATATTCTATTTGTATATATGGACCATATTTTCTTTATTCAGTCATCTGTTGAAGGACACTTCTGTTGTTTCCATGTCTTGGCCACCAGGAATAATGCTGCAGTGAACATCGGGGTGCATATATCTTTATGACTAAATGTTTTCAAGGTTTGTGGGTAGATACTGAGAAGAGTGATTGCTGGGTCAAATGGTACCTTTATTCTTAATTTTTTGAAGAAGCTTCATACTGTTTTCTATGGAGGCTGTACCAATTTACATTCCTGCCAGCAGTGTATGGTTACCAGAGGGAAAGGGGAGGGAAGAGGTAGATAAGAGTAAAAGGGATCAAATATGTGGTAATAAAAGGAGATTTGACTTTGGGTGGTGAACACACAATGCAATAGATATATGATATATCATTGAATTGTACACTTAAAATCTATATAATTTTGTTAACTTAATGTCACCCAATAAATTTAATTTTTAAAAGTGAAAATAAAATAATTTTAAAAATTAAAAAATAAACAATGAAGATTAGTATACAAAGTTTGTTTTGGGGTACCATTTCAATAATTTTTTCTATAATCTACATATATATTAAGCTTTTCTATATAATTTAGAGGATGAAGAGTTTCTTTATGACTTGAGCAGCATCAGACTTTTCTACTGGTGATAGCAACTAGCAAGTAAAGTTTAGATAAAATTTACATACTGCACAGTGTGGTTCTTCCAACTGGCCCTGGGTTTGATCCAAGACCTACTTAACTGTGGTAAGCCTTTGGGTTGTTTTTATTTCCTGAGAGTGGGGATTTGATATAAATACAAATCTGACAAACACCACTTTTTAAAAATCTTGACCTTCCATTTAGAACAACAGTCATTCACTGTATTAAGTTTATATGCATGTGTGTTATGTAGAAGAATTTTACAGAAGATAAATTTATATAAAATATGTTTATTGCTATCTTAATTAGAAATAATCTTTTTATGCCCATTGTATGTGATAATTTCTCCATGTGCAGTGAATAAACCTGTGATTAGGTCATAGCCTATTGTTAAGAACATATAGGCAGCCAATTGGCCAATGGAATATCATCCTGCCTGGGAGGAGAAAAAAAACACTAAGGTAAAATGAAAATGCCAATACATGCTGAGAAAGAGCTAATAAAAAGTGTGTGACATTACTTAGACTGGTGATACTAAAAAAAAAAAAAAGTGTAATTTTTGTTCTTTGAGAATGGACTAGCATAGGGTATAGAAAGACAAGAAAAGAAGGGTGACTTAGTCTATTGAAAGAAATTATTTAACCCACTTATCTGAAATCAAAACAAAAAATTGTTTTCCACAATCTTCAAATGTTTGGTTACATTTTCAGAAAGGTGTGCATTGATAAATATTAAATGGCTAAAGAAGATGGGTTACATTCTACTTATAACTTGTCACATAGCCTTAAAAATACTGCTTTAAGGATCATCAATTTAGAGGGAAGATCTGAGTGGCAACAGTACTCTACTTTCAGTCCCATCCTATACCACATCTTTATGTTTACTAAGATAAAGACATTGTTGGATTTATGATTAATTTTTTAAAGGAAGCAAGAAGACAGAGTATTATAGTAGATGAATTAAGGCCCAAATAAAATCTCAGCAGGCCAAAAGAATAGGCCAGATTGGATACAATGAAATTAAATAGGTATAAATGTAGGAGACCAGCTTTTGGGGTCAGACAGCTAACTTCATAGGGCTGCATGGAAACATGTGACTTGTCATCAACAAATGTAGGAAAAGATTTAGGGCTTTTCATAGCCACTTGGTTGTGGGTTCACCTTCGTGACCCATAGAATGACATGATGAACAAAACAAACAAACAAACAAAACAATGATATATGTGATATAGTGCCCAGAGTAAAAGAACAAATTGTCCTACTCTGTTTCATGTTGGTCAGATTTTCCAATTAGTTCTGTAAGGGTATACATGAAGTAGGACATATCTAAAAAATGTGGCCATTAGATAAAGGAGACTCAAAAATGTATTATTGAAGACTAGGATGCTTTTCCGACATACAGCAATAAAAGACAAGAGCAAGGATAGGGGTTTAGATTTGAACTTTGTGTGCCCCATCCACAAAGTTGGCATAACTTGGACCCAAGTCAAAGATACACTGAAGCAGAATTCAACACAACGTAAGAAAGAACTTTTTAGCCATCTTTAGAGAATCCAAAGATGGACTCATTTGGAGGCAATTAGTCTCTTATCATTGGAGATATTTGTGCAGAAATTTCAGTAGCCACTTGGTGTGTTATAGCAGTGATCAAAGCAACAAATATGTTACAGTCACTTCAATCCTGATATTTTATTTAAATATGTGTCAACGATTCCCAGATGCACCACTTACTAACTTCTTGGGTATCACTTAACTTCTCTGGGCCTCGGTTTCCTCCTATTCAAAGGACTGAGGGGGTGACAGTAACTTATAAAGCTGTTAGAGAGATTAAAGGAGTTTGAAGAACAATAGCAGTAGCCTGATTCCAAATCACTCCATCGCATTCCCAAAATACCAAAAGATCAACAAGGAGAATAAATAAAGCAGTGTTAGACAGAAAACACAGCAACCTTCAAGTCACTTATGAGGAAAAAAAGAAATAAGCTCTAACAAAGCTTCTGATACCTGCAAAACATCCCAGCAGACCTGTATGTATGGAGAGTCGGGGTGAGGGAGCCAAAAGGAAGAAGAGTAACACACAAAAATGTCAAACAGGTGGAATTGGGTAGTTCATTGCCCTGGCCATAGGGAAGGGGCTTAAAAGTGTGCAGGGCCTGAAGTGGAAGCCTCAGAGAGGTAGTGCTTCTGGAGAAGGATTAGAAAAAGAGAAAAGAGATTGTGCTCCTTGGATATGAGGTGGTGGAGGGAAAGAAATAAATAAAAGGAGAAAATTAAAGAACATGCTAATTAAGATTGGTTGATTGTATTAATGTCAATAATATGATGTGATCATTCTACTATAGGCTTACGAGGTGATACCATTAAGAGAAACTGCAAAAAGAGTACACAGGATCTCTTTTTTATATCTTACAACTTCATGTGAGTATTCAATTATCTTAAACTAACAAAAAAAAATTTATTTTAAAAACACGATTCTGTTTTTATAATAGTAAAAATAGGTAAAACAAAACTATATCGTTTAGAAATTTACATTTAGGGTGTAAAACTAAATAAAAGAAAGCGATTGCCATAAAACTCAGCCAAGTGGTTTCCTCTACAATAGAAGGAAGAGGCTGAGAAAAAGTGAGGTGGGGTGTTTCTTACCTTGATGATTGTTATACTTCATTTGCTTTAAAATAATTAAGGTATCCATTTATGTTTTCTAAGAAAACTTAGAAGAAAAGGTAGTGATCAGTGTTAACCACTGTTCTAGGACACAAAACTTTGGTAGGCTCCATAAAATATAATATAAAAACTGATTTGACCACACTACAATAAAACTGGAAATTAAAAATAAAACCAAAAAATAAAAGACTCCTCATCTGGACATTAACACTGTTGTATTACATAACTCTTCTGTGAAAGGGTGATAAAACAAAATTATTGTATTTCTTAAAAATATGATAAAAATACTATATACCAAAATTATGGACTATATTTATAACAATGATCAGAAAATAACTTGTAATTGTAATTGTAAAACTGATATTGATAGTACAAAGATTGCAGACCAATATTATTTATGAGATTGAGGTAAAAAAAATCATAAACAAAATACTGCTGAACTAACTCAGACAACAAGTTAAGCATTAAATATATTGTAACCATATATTTTACACTAGGATATAAAAATGGTTAATATTACACAACAAGTTAATATAATTTATCATTTTAATAAGTCTACAGATAAAAATGATATGAATTTTTTATAGGTGTTGAAAATTGATTTTGGCAAAATTAAACATTTCTAAAAACATTTAGAAAAATAGTAATAAATGGCTGCTTCCTTATTTAATAGAGAAACACTAGAGGCATTTCTACTAAGGTCAGTAATGAGGTTAGCAAGCCCACTATCTCCACTGGTATCTAGCATTGTCTGCAGGTAATAGTCAATAGAATTAGACTAGAGAAAACAATTAGAAGTACAAGAGTAAGAAATCTATCTTTATCTGCAGAAGACATAATAATATACATGGAAAATCCTAGAGAATCAATGATAAAATGAACTTATAGCAGGATATAAAATTAACATGTAAAAATCAGCAGCATTCATATACACAAATAATAACAGGCTAGAAGATAAAATGAATGCAATGGTAATAAAAAAGTAAAATATTTAGGAAGAAACTTCACAAGAAAGGCTCAGTACCTATATAAATAAAATTAGAAAACATTTCTGTAAGACTCAAAAAATAAGCTTAAAAAAATGGAAAGACATCTCTTATTATTTATTTGCACATCTCAACATCATCAAAATGTCAGTTCTTGCTGTTAATTTACAAATTTGATCCCAATAAAAATTCTAATGGGCATTTTTATAGAGCCAGATAAGTCCATTGCCTTATCATAGCCACATAAAATTGAGTAAGTTGGTGTGATCTATCTTTTGAGCTACATTTTTTAAAGCTTTGGACTATGTCAATGGGGTATAAAATTCAATTGATCAACTGTAATATGTGATTGATATTGAGATTACAAAACATTTTCAGAATTAATGGAAATAACGGCTGTGTTTTCTAGGAAACCCATGAGGAATAAAATTTTTTAAATGTTCATTTATGCCATAAACAAAAGAAAATGTACTGTGATGATAAATATAAGTTCTATAGGATCTGGATTTTTAAGACATAATGAATCTTCATGGACCACCGGGGTCAGCAGATATGATCTTTTGAATCATAATTTTGAAGCAGGTGAAATTGATCTTAGTTTTGCTTATTGTAATTTAAACCAGCATGAATTTCCATGATAGAACCAAGGTTAGTGAATATTCTTTGGCCTACTGCAGAGACATTGTAGTATAGACCCTACTTCAAGGCAGAAACGGCAACTACAATGTCTTGATTATTTGGGGGCTATAAATACATACAATGAGGTTCTATTAATCCAAAGAGTGATGAGATAAAAGGTTATTTTCAACTGCAAACTTCATGTCTCTGAAGCAGCAACTACCAGAATGTGGCGCTGGTGTGGTTTTCTTTCCCCTTGGTGGGATGGGGTTTGGTAAGAGATGAAGAATAAGAAGGAAGAGGAGATAATAGGAATAAGGCAATAAAAGAAATTAATTTTTTCAAGACTGTATTAAATTGAAATAATTTACTTCTATATTCGACTCGTATAGAGATTAAGTTACGTATTTTTCACGGTCAGGAATAAAATGGCTATCGTTTTGTAACTGCGTTACAAAAGCAGTTCCCATAATCCAAGTTTAGCATATTTTATAAATGACCTTTGTATTGATGAAATTTTTAGTTTTATTAGAAGCTAAAAACTAAAAATAAAAAACAAAAGAATAACTAGGAAATTACTGAACGTGAAGACCTGCAATGGGGAGGGTGAGGAAAAACTACTAAGAGCTATAAAACTATGCTACAAAGCTCTTTCATTAAACAGTATGGTACTAGTACAAGAATAAGCCATCAGATCAATGGATAAAATAAAACCTTCAGAAATAGATTCAACTACATGTAACGGTTTAGTTTATAATAAAAATGGTATCTCGATACTACTGGGGCAAACGTGCTATTTAATACATAGTGTAGAGATAACTGGATAGCTTTTTGGAAAAAGATAAAAGCAAATCTATTCCTTCTATCACACCCAAGAATAAACTCTAAATGAATCAGAGGTCTAAATATAAAAGGTAAATCTAAACAAATATAAGAGGGAAGCGAGTGAATTCCTCTAAAACCACGTGTAAAGAAAGGCTTTCTAACGATGAGTAAACTCCCGGATGCAATCAAAGAAAAGATTGGTAAATCTAACTAAGTACTAATAAAAAATTTTTTACATGCCAAAAAAATATTAAAGTCATAGATAATTGGAAAACTGGTAGAAAATATTTACAGCATATATCACAGATAAAGGGTTAAAACCTTAATTTATTGAGAATTTTTTAATTGAGGAAAAGTGGCTTATAGAAAAATGGGCAGAGACTTGTACAAACAACTCAAAAAGATAAAAATGGCCCTTAGTCATATGAAAAGATGTATAATTTCATTCATATAAAAAAGAAATGCAAATTGAAACTACAATAAAATTCCATTTTTCACCCATCAAATAGGCAAAATTAAAAAGCTTGACAATTTACACTGGTGATGAAGTGGTGGAGAAACGGGTACTGCCATACATTACTGATGGATATGAAAAGTGGTACAACCTTTCTGGAGGAAGATTTGAGAATATCTGACTATATCTAATCCAGTCTCAACACAAAATTCCCTCTGTGAATTTATCTTGAATACATATCTCCAACAATATGAAAACATATATGCACAGTTATTCACAGAGTATTTGCCATTGTCAAGTATAAGAGATGGATTGAATAAACTATGATACAAGAGAACTATGCAGCTGTGATAAGGAGTTCTATGTACTGATATGAAATGATTTCTTGGAGATATTAATGAAAAAGGCAAAATACAAAAAAAAATATGCTATGCTAACTTTTATGTACAAAATAAGGGAAAATTAAAAAAAAATTAATGGCTTATTATTACAAAAAGGAACACAAGAAGCACAAACCAGAAAACAGTGAAGTTAGTTGCCTACAAGGGGTTGGGGAGACTGGCTGAAAGGAATATTGGAAGCAGTGACAAAAGTTTTACTTTTGAAAGCATGTTAAATTCTATGTATTTCAAAAATAAAATTCAGTAAAAATGAGGAGCATTGCTAAAACTGAAAGCAAACTGAGACACGTGGACCTGATTGTTTATCAAATGTTTTTCAAATGTATTTCAAATGAACATCACAGCCACTAAAGAGAGAGCCCCAAAGAGGGTGAGAGGGAGGGAGAGAGAGAGGAACGACCAACTCAAGTAATTTATAAACACAATATTTGACCATATACCTCAGTCTTGGGGTAGAAGGAGAAGAACTACAAACTAATCTCAGATACTTCTTAGTAAATTGTTCATTGTAATGACATGAGCAAAGCTGTTCTGAAAGTATTTTAGATGTACTAAAGTTTTGAACAAATGAATAAATGTGTCGATGTCATTGGAAGCCAGAGTTTTCACTATGGAAGAAGGACATACACATATGGAATGCTGGAAGCCAAGAAAGAACCCTTTGGAAGTGAACTGGAACTGGAGGTACTGGTGTAAACTCAAGATTTCTAGTGTGTGTGTGTGTGTGTGTGTGTGTGTGTGTGTGTGTGTGTGTGTGTGTGTGTGTGTGTGAATGCTTTTGTGTGCATATATATGCGTGTATGTGAGTATATGTATATGTGTCTATATATTGGTATGCAGGTGTATGGGTATATGTGCATATATATAGATATACAGATAAACAGATATGGATTTCCTAGCTTTCTTTACTGAAAGGCCAAAAAGCAGACCAGAGGAGCAACAAGCAAATCTAAAACCCAGACTTGGTCCCCACTCAAAGGAACCAAGACTTCTTCTTGGAGAAATAGCTGATTCCAGGACTGGGACAGGGTCACTCTGTTTCTAAGAAAACAGATTGTCTAGGGCATCCAGTGCTGCTTTTTCTTTTCTCTTCAAATGTTATGAAGCCAGCCATAGTTTCTTCTGCCTATTACATATTGATATCATTTTCGGTCAGTCTTCCTCGGCTGCCATCTAGTTTATAATGATCCTCAGAATGTTAAAGAACTTCCACCAATCCCAAATTGTCTCTTATTTTTATCTGTGTTCCTATAAACATTTCTCTAAGGGTTGTATAAAACAGATTTCAATTTCATTATGGTATGCTTCCCTTATTTGCAACTGTTTTCAAATTTCTCCTCCCATACATTTTGTCTGACATTATAGGTCTAAATTGTTTGCCAGAACACACAAATGTCAGAGAGATTGGCCACAGCAAATTGGAAGTGGGGGTGTGCTAAAGCTCGTTAGCCTACAGGCTCATTGGTTGACAATGCAGCTGTCTTCAGAGAATGGAGTAAATATATCAGAGACAAATTAATTGCATCACAATGCATTTGCCCTTTTATCATTTTTTAGGTTTTCAGCTAACATTTTTATTACCAACAAGATTCTGTTGGAGACCACAGCTTATGTCAGCAGCCACGATAGTGTGCTTTTGCCTGGGACGGGCAATCTACCTGAAAGAAAGCAACAAGGCAAAGAGATCATCTCACCCAAAACTCCTGCCACACAGTTTGGCCTTCCACCTACCTTGAGGCAGTATGAACTCTGATCCAGATGTGCTGAACTTTGGGAGACAGGCACAGGGCAGTCACCAACCAGACAGGCCATGCCTCTTCTCCTAGAGAAGAGTTGGTGAGGGTGGGGACACGGCTATTTTTCCCAGGGCTTCAGAAAAGGCACAAGTGATTAATTGATGGGATGCAGAAGGACCTATGTGTTATTGCACATTTTGAGTTCTGTAGTTTTGTTAAGTGTGAGTTCAGTATTCTTTGGCAGGCCCTCTTGCTTCTCCACACTGCTTAGCCATTTCCTTTTTTCGGCTGTGCTTTTAATGGCTGCCTTTGCTGATTAATTCTGGCACACAGGAGAGGCTCAAATGACTGTGCTATAAGTTTGAGGCTCATCCAATATTAATCTTAGTTATATGCACCATATTGTACCCAGTTTTAACATTTACTTAATTTGCTTTTCTCTGGATGAAAAGAGAAGGGAGACTTAAACATTACAAAGGGAACACAGATTTTTTTTTTCCTTCTCTTTCCTTGAATTGCATAGTACAGTACTTTCAAATGGCTTATGGAAAGGATTAAAAGTAAAGGGTAAAAAGACAAATAGAATGATAGAAGCTGTTTCTATCGTTATCCTCTGAAGTTCCATGAACAGACTGAAAGTTCAGTTGAGGTCTATGAAAATATTAGCAGACGCCAAAAGGCCAGCAGCCAGGATTTGTGTCTTTGTGCAAGAACTGAACAGCTACCAACAGCTAGAAAATTTTAAAAACCTTGGCAGTGATGGAATAGTCCTATGAAAAAAAAGAGTGAGAAATGTTTATGAAATGATTAGATTTATGAACTTGTAAAAGAATGTTCTCTACAGATTCTAGGCCTCTATGTATGTAGATAACTGAAATATTAAGACTTAGAGATGATAGTTATTTATTTTAATGATGCAATTAGTAATTGCGGCTGAAATGAATTTGACCTAATTCGAAATCTCTTAGTGAAAGAAAGTAAAATGCATAATAATTAGGTAAAATTTAAGTTTGCAGTAAGTATATACTTAAACTTCTAAGATCTTGTTTTTAAGTTATTCAAAATGTTAATCATATGACATCTAAATAAGATGGAAATTTTTTCTCAGTAGTAAATTAATTACATTAAGTTATGATTGACTTTTCTTAATTATTTCATGCTTATGAATATTTAAATTAGAAATATATATTTGATTCAGCTTTTTAAAAAGATATTAGTCAACATAGTAAAAAAAAGTTAGACTGCATGATATTAATTTAAAGCAGTGCCAAGTGTTGAAAGTGTACTTTATAAAGTGGAATTGCATTTTTAAGATAAAATATAAGTAACAAAAATATGATTAAGGCAAATATTTGGAATTTTATTTACTAACCAAATTATAAAACATGTAAGCGCTTCGAAAATACTCAGTCAATAATATACTTTCAATAAGTATAATCCTTGGTTTTAATTTAGCTTTATCAGAAATGAATATATTGCTTTTATTTCTATAAGAACATCTTTCCTGTTAAATCACATATCTTAGCTAATATTTCACTGTAATACCAGAAAAAAACATAAGAGGGCACTTTAGTTCTGTAACAAACTAATACCATTTCTAAAACCTTTTATAAATTAGTAAAACAGACAATGGGGAGATTTGAACTATCTGGTAAAATTTAAATAAAAATGTAAAGCAAGCTCCTCCGCCTCCCAATAACTAATAAAAGATATCTCAGGTAAACAGCAATTTCTTTAATCATTTCATAAATCACTGGGTAACATGAAAAACAAGTATTCTCAGGTCTGCAAATTCATAGGTCCATCATTTCAAGAGTATTTCATTTTTTAAAATTTCACATTTATTTGGAAATTGTTAGATCTATTGAATATACTTTATTTAAATGAGTAAATTTTCATTATCCAGGATTTTAAAGAGGTAGACCAGGTGTTCTAAATATGGAAGAAGTAGCACAATGCACCAGTATACATTTCTTGTATATTGGTTTGATACCTACTAACAATTAGCCTATGACTTTAGTAACGTAGCTTAATCAAAATTTCCTCCAAAATTATCTTTATTATCATTGTCGTCATCATTTCAAGGCCAGGTCTCTGCTTTCCAGTAACATCGACTCTATTTTATTGAAAAAAGTAAGGTTAATATGTGAGACAGCAAACGATGGAGAAGACAATGCACAATTAAATCTAAATTGTCATTCAGTGTTCAGGTGGTCTCAGGCAAGTCATTATAATTCTCTGGGCCTCTGCTTTCACATTTTATGATGAGGTTCTGTACTTGATTATCTGACTCAAACAGTCGTCTTTTCTTATTTTGCATATTGTCTTATCAAATTTGGTTATCGAGTGCCCAAGCATTCAACATATTTACTGTGGTGCTTAACCTTTTGAGTGCAAAGACGCATTTGAAGAGCTTACAGAAGATGTGGTGCTAAAACATGCTCTAATTTATAGCTTACTCAAAATGAGTAAGATTCATTTCAGGAGGTTCAAGGACCTTCAGAAATCAATCCACGGTCTCCCTAGCGAAGCACAGATACTGTCAAGAATCTCTGATAGAGGCATAAATTACATCGCTCCCACATTTTAGGGAAGTTATTCCTAGAAATTTTTTGTTGTTGTTTTTGGGTTAAGAAGGGTGATGAGACTGGAGCGAGAGGCTTGCCATATAGACCAATTTTGATTTTATCCTATAAACAACAGGAAGTAAACTGAAGTGTTTAAACATAAAAGTGGAAGAGATGCATTTCAAATAGCAAAATCAGAAAGTAGAATATAAAATGAACAGGAGAAGAAAGACAGGAAGCAGGGAGATCATCATTTAGTCTGTCAGCACAGTAATCTGGGTGAGGCATAGTGAGAACCTATTTTAAAACCTTTCCAAAATTAAGGGTGTTCCCTTTTCTAAAATAGGCCTACTTTGATTCTGTGTAATAAATAATGAGACGGAAATTTACAGTTTGAAACTAGACAAGGATTGTTCTGCAGTTCCATTTATTTTCTACTCAGGGCTACAGTGGATACTAGCATCCATGCTTTTGCATTCTTCTGCTGCCAACGTGGAGTACTTCAAAAGCCCACGCAGCCAAAGATCCACCAAAGAAGTGTGGCATACCCCTCATAAACAGGCTGACCTAGAGGGCTTTGCTCAACATCTATATCCAGGTTCAGTGATAGGTGCTCTTTCTTTTATATCCCTGGGCAGAAATGAGTGGCAGAAGTGATGGGCTCTCACTGGCTGGACCAACGAGGAAATATCTCTCCATTCTCTAGTAGCCAAGATGACAAGCAAGCAAAACTTCTAGACAGGGAGATTTCTCACAGAACTGTAGTGAAAATTTAATGAATATCTATAGATAGATATATCTATACAGACATAGATTTGGATATGGATAGAGATATAAAGATTCTCTTCTAGGAAATCTACACACAGATCTTGATATTGCCACATATTGCCAAATCCCATATGTTTCCTATAAGAAAAGGGCGGGGGGAATCATTAATTAAATGGTGAGGATTAGATACACAGACATTCTCATTCTTATGAAGGAGAATTTGGCCAAGGATCAGAAATAAGACAGGATCAATGGAGAAAATAGATTCAAGTATTTGTTTATTAATTCTGCTCAAAACTTGGCACTTAGATGTGAGGGGTGAAACCAATAGTTCCAAACTATAAAACAAAACCCACACATACCTTTGGGGGCACTTCATGATCTGGCCCAACCCACCTTCCAGCCTCCTGCCCCTAGCTGTCCATCTCACAGTCTGTGTTTAATGACACCAAACTACTAAACATAACGCACACCTTGATGTCTCTGAGTTTGTGCACATTGTCACCTTGGCCCAGAATGACCTTCCCATGATTCTCCATTTAGTGAAATCCCATCCATCCCCAAATCCCAACCTCAAAGCCACCTTCTCTGTTAAATTCTTGTTAACTCCGTCTGACCACTTCCTGAAAAAAAATTAATAATAAATCACCCTCTCTGGGTAACCTAGGACTGTGTTCTTGTGTGTAAAGCTCATCAAAGTATCATTTACACCCTTCTCTTCCACTACAATGTAAGCTCGTCGGAGAAGGGGCGTGGTCTGATTCCTTTAGTTTCCCAAGCTCCTAGCACAACATGAGCACAAAATAAGAAATATATCAGTATTTCTTAGCAAAAAAAAAAAGTAAGAGAAAAAGGAATTTCAGTTAAAAAGCTATTATAATAATCCAGACAGAAAGTCTCACATAAGCCTAAATATGGAAATTGGCATTGGAAATGGAAATTCAAAATTATTAAAATAGGATAGATTAGATTACATGGATGATCAAACATAGGGAATGAAAGAGAAGAAGGGATTGAAGACTATTCCATCCAAATTTTCTGAGCCAAGAGACTGAGAAAACATGAACAGAAGATATTGAAAATATAGAGTAGGAGGAGAGGAAGAAGTGAATTTCTGGTTCACATTTCCAACTTGATACACTGAGGGACATCTATTTGTAGATGTTTAGCGAATAGCTGTGTATTTAGAGCTGACACTTGAGGAAAAGTTCAGGGTTTAGAGCACGGCAGTGAAAACTATGGAGTGAATGATATTGAAGAGAAGAGGATCAATGACTAAATTTGGGGTTCTACCCCTATTTAAGAAATGAGAAAAAGAAGAGAAGGCAGTAAAGGAATGCAGTGAAAGACCAGATGAAGCCATCCAAGAAAACACATTGAGGAGACAAGAAAGGGGAGCAATTCAAAGAGAGTGGGAAGCCAAAGGTACAGAACATTGAGGATGAGCTAGAGGACTGTCATTGTAACCTCAGAGAGAGCAGCCTCAGCAGAACAGTGGCAGCAGAATGTAGATGGAGCCAGTGGGGAGGGGGCATGAGGATAGAGAGTGTGACCTGCTCTTAAAAATGTTGGTCTTAACAGCGATGAGGGATGCTTTCCACACATTCTGAAAATTATTTCTGGTTGTGACCTACATTGTCTTTTAATTGAATGTTGGCTTAATCAAGTTCATTAAAGTTTCAACTGCCCACAGCTACAAAGATAATTTTTGCTTTTTTAATTTAAGAAGTTAAGAATAGGATCTATGTATAGGCCTGGAGTTGGGGTGGAGAAATACTTTGATGATTCATTTACAATCTCTTTTGAAGTGTATCATTTCATTCTAATTATGAATCAACTGATTTTTTTCCTAAAAAAAAAAAATTTTAAATGAACACAGAAGACTTTAAAAAGTCCCTTCCATTAAAAAGAAGAAAAGAAGAAGAAAAGGCTTACATTAAATCCAGCTAGAATTGTGTATGCTCTACTGCTCTAGGGCTTGGCCCTGAAAAGGGGTCAGGGTTTAATTGTGAGTCCTACTCACTTGAAGTCATTATTTCTCACTTGGGTTTCTCCTCCTGTCACTCTAGATTGCAGGCTGTATTGTTTAATGTAGCAAAGGGAGAATTGAAATGTCTGCTTTCCTCGCAGTTGAGTACTTTTTATTGTCCCATCCCCTATTTATTACTGAGGAGATCTGTAGGGTTTAGATCATAGTCAGTGAGACTCTTGGCTGTCTCTATCCAGTGTCATGCCCAGCTCAGTAGGCTTACTCCATTGAATTTGGAATTGAAGACCTGGGTGTTTTAATTTGGTTTTAGCCAATTGTAATTTAAATATATTTTCTGAACTGGTTTTAAGAAATTTAAATCTTAAAAAGCAGGCTTTTCGGAGATCAAAAATATTAGATAAATAATACATTCAAGGTCATCTCACTCTGTCAGTGACTTCTTGGAAATTACACTTGATGAATTTCTGGAAAGGAAGTGTTTCCTTCCCAGGGGAAGAAATAAGAAGCCAAGGTGAAAGAAGCTAAAAGGGGCTATGAAACAGAGGGAAGAGATTCCTGCCTCCAGTAATAGCAAAAGAGGTGATTCCTGATGAAAACTAATTTTTAAGAAAAGCTATATTTTATCTGTAATATATTTATTTAGCTACAATTTATCTATGTATTTTGTTTATTGCTTACAGAAATGTTAATGTCTCCCCACTAGAATGTAAGCTACAAAAGCTTAGGAATTTTTATTTTGTTCACTGATATGTCCCAAGCACCTAGAACAAACAGTGTCTAGCACATCATAACTGTCCCATGACTGTTTGCTGCACGAGTAAATAAGTTGTCTAAAAACCCCTCAATCCTGAGAACATTTCACTTTGCTGCTGCAGAGGCGCTCTCTTTAGCCTTCCCTACCCTGTCCCTGCCTCTTTATCCTCTCAGAACACCTCTTTTTTCTCCCAGCCAGTGCAGTCCCAGGGGAGAGTAGTGCATCTTCTGCTCTACTGGTTAAGGAAGGAAATCCTTGATGTGTCTTTTGTGGAAGTGAGAGAAAGGGGCCGATAATCCACCGGTCTTGGTTCATAGTGGGTGGGGACATAGAAAAAAACTTGAACACCAATTTTAGGACTTAATCCCACTGAGACTACAAACCAAGAGAGACACTGAATATTAGCATGACTTCTGTGAGATTTTGGTGAGTGTTCTGGGCTCTACACTTAAATTGCAAATTGTTGTTTTGATGATGATGTTGATTGCCCCAGGACAAAATGTAAATAAAGGCTGCATTCAACCTCTGTGGATAATGTTCACTTCACCCCATTCCCTTATTAAACAATTAAAGTGGCTACAGTATTGTATGAAGATAAGAAACTAAGTCACAAATTTATGATAGGCTATTACCTGTTCCTGTGTGCTGCT